ATTATATCTGTCAGCTACTACCACATTAAAATATTTTTACTACGACATTGTCTCACCAGTCGAAAAAAAAACCACAAAAGTTTTAAACAGAATTATATTAAAATGAGTGATTTGAAAAATTCAGGGACTGCAAAGAAAAAACAAGTAGTTTAAAAATGTTTTAATTTGCCTAAAATGAAAAAAAAATTTCATTCAGTTTTTACGATGTTTTGATGAAAAGTTATTCGTTCATGAGATCAGACTCGAATAATAATTATAAAGCACAAAAGTAAAGTTACAGTCACAATTTCTCGCATTACTCGCATACTGTGATATTTACAGTTAGCGTTGACCATCTGAGCTACCACGGCTCTCAATAAAGCACAAAAGGCTACAAAGAAACCTATATTTTGTAGTCATTCTAGTTGTCCGGATATGAAAACCAAATCCCCGATTATTTTTACCTTCCGTCCCGAAATTTTACTTGCTAGACCTAGCAAAACTAATCCCCGCCGACACTGATGAAATTGTTAGTTTGATGAATTATGTTTACATTATGAAACAGAATAAAAGTTTATCAAATGATATATATTTTATACAATACATATTTTTCAATTAGAACATATACATATTATAATATACTCAATAGGGTGAAAATGTAAAGCCGACTTCAATTTACTAAAAGAATACCTAAAACAATTTCCACATATTAGCCTCCGATTTCTATACACTATATAAGTAAGCCATTATATGAAAATTATTTTTTTTATTATTTTAGTTCCAAACGTATCAAAGACAGGTATATAATCAACGATCAAAGTGATTCGTAGTCGTCGTTAGGCAACTATTATAGCCTCACGCTCGCCCTGACACGCACACAGAGACAACAGTCAGTCAGTCAGTTGTAGTGTGCGTCATTATTACGCCGTTCCAAAGCGATCGCGTAGATTTCGACTTGGACATATTTGAATATGCGCTCTGAAGTAGATGTAACTCATTATAATCTACTTAATAAACACATGTTTTGGCTTACAATTTAGTAATTAGTTATTTAATTTTAAGAAACTTTTATCACCCCACAACTGTAAACTGCATTGTATTATTAAAATTTTTTTCTTACTGCCTGATGCCCATCGCCGTGTTGCGCTATGCATCGATGTCTTTAATTCGACGGTCATTTATTACTTCATTCTATTACTAGTAATCAGTACAGTATCTAACTTACTTGCTGATGTTTAGATAAGTACATTTAGTAAAATGCAAAATGCTTGTGGAAAAGTTCTCCCACTAATCAATTTCTCCAATCGGCTGTAGGTACTATTGTTTCCAATAAATATGAATGTAATAATGTTACTTAGATTATACGTCCGATGCAAGGATTTTATCTAGGCTGTCAAGATGTGAGGTAACCGTTTGAATTATGCCGAATATGAATTGAAGGGCTTTTTGAAGTGCATGAGTTATCATAAGATTTACTTTCACAATTATATTATTCAGAAACTTCAGAGTCTGCCACGATGTTTGGACGAAAAATTATTCGTTCATTTCATCAATTCTAAAATACTTTGTTAGGGCAGAATACGAACCGAATGACCTTGTTCATTTCGTGGCAAACCGCGCGCTGTCTATCGAACATCACGTGCGTTAGCCGTACGAGTGCGCTAGCTCGGTATGCAGAGTAATGAATAACAGAGAGAGCATTGCTTACTTCTTAATTAAATCTTTCTTATATATAATCTTAATTCCTACAGATTATAAATTCTGTACTTTATTCCTTACAAACATACAAAAATAATAATCTTTCCTCTTTATAATATTAATATAGATTATAAATTCTGTAAAGTTAATCTGTAAAAAAAATTATTGAATTGACATCGATTTTTTTTCTGAATTGGTGTATCGTACGTAAAATACTTCACGTAACTGAACTGTAAACTGTTCGTTCTTGTGAGTTTTACAAGATGCCGTAATGCAAATTGCATAAATAATAAAGAAAAAAATTAAAAAGTCCCTGTTTGCCCAATAGTAGGGTAGGTACTGTGTGTGTAAATTCTCACAAGACTACTTCGACCGGTCAATCACTTAATACCCGAAGTATGTCAGTTTATCTTAATTATGTACTTACCCCATACTTTCGGACAATACATTGACTAGGACATTATTTGCGGTCTCTGTGCTTGCACTACTTTGTACATTATTTTCCGACTCGGTCGTGATATTTACATTTTTAAAGTTTCTCACTTCATCACGCAGAAACAATCGGTCAATGTATAGTAAATCATCCTATTACAGCCTCCAACAAAAAAGTACCATACAAAAAATTTTTACCTCAAAGTGGAACGTAACATTCAGGAGCGTTCCGTCCACCACTAGTAATATTTATTTCTTTTCCTACGCTTATTCACATTTATAGCACAAACCTACCCTAAATTAACGATTTTCAATACAGACATAACTGACTATTGTCACCTTACGCCACACATCGAAGCGTCTGGTAATTTATGACGGCAAACTTTTATATGACAATACACAATATTATTACTATAATTATTAATAATTTTATAAGCTTATTTAATAGTTAGCAATTTACAACTAAAATTTTATCACTATAAAAGATCTACAAATAATTGTTCCGGGTCTGGATGTTCGCCCTTGTGAAACTTATGTTCTGTATGTTAACTGCCCCCACGATATACCAAGAAAACATTCTTAGAGTGGAGGTAACGTTATTATAAAATAGAAACAAAAAAGATATGAGCCATGGTAGCTCAAAAGCGAAGTGCTCGCCGTAAACGCAAGCAACCCGGGCTTGATCCCTGCCGACACCAATGAAATTGTTATTATAATGAATTATCATTACATTATATACATAATATATTTTATATAATACATATTTTTCAATTCGAACATGTTGTATTACTTACCCCTTTCTAGTTATTAACTTGGCGTTGTGACATTCCTTAGTCTACTCAATAGAGTAAAAAATAAAAGCCGACTTCAATTTACTACAAGAATTAAATAATTTATACGTTTTAGCTTCCGATGTCAGGGCTAAATCGGATATTAATTCTCATATACACTATGTCTTAGCACCAACCTCATAAGCTATTATGTAAAAATTATTTTATTCTTTTAGTTCCAAAAGTATCAAGATGATTCGTGCTAGATACTACTGCGCTCGCACCACCTCTAGCAGTCACGTACACAGAGAACATTGTAGTATACGTCAATATTACGCCGTTCTAGAGCGATTTTGACTTGCGAATATTTATATTCTATATTTATCGTAAGTTTTACTAACTATAATTTGTGTTTGTTCAGATAATTCATGTATTATAAGAATATTTGTGTAATAGTCGTTTCCACTACAAGTTAACTGTAAAAAGTTATATTTAATTTTGGTATATTGTGACACTGGAAGAGTACTGACGTTTACAGCACAGGTTTTGCTATTGTAAGCATCCGATTGAATACTGCTGTGTAGATTATGGAAACATTTTGTATTTACTGTTTAAGGACTTTGAATGGTGTGCAAATAAATACTATTATTATTATATTATTATTTATTATTTTTATCAAATAGTAAATTTTCATGATTCCACTGTGCTAATTCTTGCATCTAAAAGTTAGATAATTTAAGTATTTGATGTTATCTCGTGAGACATAATATTAATTCGGTTTTACTTATTTCAAGAAAAATATTTAAATAAGTGAATGAGTGAGTGAAAATAAGTCTATTGATGTTATTTAATCTGAATTTTGTAGGTTCCTGCTAGATCAAGACTTTATTTATTTATTTATTTTTATTTATTAATTCATTTGATATTTATTTATTTCTTTTATCCTATGTTTTGTAATAACAATTGTTTCGAAGAATTTTCCGAACATTTCGACAACGTAGTTACTAATTAATTACATTAATTACGTACACCAACCATATCTTTATACAACAAAAAGCATTGCTGATAATAAAAAGAATTAGGATAAAAGTGTTACGATAAAGTGGTGATATAATATGAATGAAAATGAAAATTTATTTCTTTCTCAAGGCATACTAAGTAATACAGTAATTGGAGCTCCTAGTAAGTATAAAAGAATACCTGTATCAGGAGGCACCGCTCTTCCTAATAATATTAAATACTGAAATAAGCCGATCAAGATTACCTATGGGCAACTGTTGGTGTGTGTGTAAATATACTTATATTTAATGGATATACTATTCAATTACGTGACGTAGAATGTTTTCTGTGTTGTGGTAGTTTAATTTTTTAAGATGCTCAGTAAGAATTGTTTTGCATTCGCGATAGTTTAGTCCGTGAAAGTTTAATTTTTGTTTAAATCCCTGCAAATATATCTTGATCGGGCGCTGTAATGTCTCTCAGCAAATTTACATTAGATTCATAGACCACAAATCCTCGCGAAAGAAAACCGATTCCTACCAAGGATGACACGTGAGGCTATTAAAATTAAAAAACATCCTAATTTCAATAGAGAAGGAGGCTGGGTACTACCACCTGCTTGGGATCCTATAATCAATAAAATTAAAACTAAACACAAGCATACCACTGCAAGACCTCAGGACATAGTCAGTTCATTTTGCATAGATCGGACCATAAACAATAATTAAAAAAGTTGAAAGTACTCCGGGTTTAACAATGACATCGGGACGTCAATCATTTCAATCCCCCGTGACCATGGGTGCTGGAAAGCGCCCGAAACGTCGGGAATTAAAAATGAAAGTAATTAAAAGTAAAACAAACGCGATGAAATCCGTAAAAGTAGTATTAATCAAATTTAGATTTTATTGTGTTTCCTGAAGTGAGTGTAGGGTCCGGAGGCCCTTTTCACTGGCAACAAGGCATTCCATTTTGGCCCTCAGAGGTGACAGCACATATGCATTTAGATTCTTAGTCGAGCATAGATAGATGTCTATAGGTCAGAGCATCCACTTACCATTAGGTGGACTGGGTGCTTATTTTTCATCCATATTCTATAAAAAATACTCTCAAAACTTTTAGAACATGGTGCAAGTACGAGTGGCCGAGGGTGTGTTAGAAGGGGAATTCGTAGAGAGTGATATTGGAGGCAAGTACTACAGCTTCAAAGGGATCCCTTACGCTGAACCTCCAGTCGGTGATCTAAGGTTTAAGGTAAAACCAATGTTAGATTCTATGACTACTTATAAGCCAGAAATAACTACATATAAAATTCGCCTTCAACATTAAATCAAAAGTCCACCGCTGAACATAAACCTCTGTTGGCAACCGCATGTTTTTTATTTTCAAGGTGTTATTAGGAAGACGCTGCTGCGTCGTTGGGATAATATCTCAAAATAATAAAAATCTGCGGTTGCCAACCCGTCTGCCTAGCGTGGCAACTGCGGCAGACATCTTCCTCCAATGAAGCAATCTATCGAGGAGGCCTATGTTCATTAAGGGTTTTTCAGTAGGATATAATATATGTATGTATAAATACTTGTTCAGCGTGGGATTTAGCTTTTGTTTAGATATTGAATACTGTAACTTTATTTTGTTAATCCTATTTGTTAGACTGCCTTGTAGTATATATTAAAAATAATATATATGTATATATATACACAAATAAATAAAATAATTTTTAATTTTTTAACTCCAAAGATTATTTAAAATGCTAAACACTACTAAAACTCATGACTGATGACCAACAAAACTCTAACTATCCCGATGCATACACTTTGGAATAACCTTCCACGAGATTTAAAAGATGCTCCTTACATTTAAACGTAAGCTTGAGGCATATTATTTAAAATTAGGTAGATAAATAGAAAATTCTTTATTGCACTCAAACAAAATAATTTGGTACAAAGGCGAACTTAATGCCGAAAAGGCATTCTCTGCCAGCTAACCTTTTAAAAATTACTTGATTAATTTTATTGATTGTGTATATTATAGTTTCCTATACTTACTATATTGTATGTTTTTATTGGTTTAGTATGTGTTTTTATTTAAATATGTATGTATGTACATATATATGTGTATGTATATGTGTGTATAAGTGGAAACATATATATGTATAAACTAACATATACACAATATTATATAATATGTTTTGAATATTATGAATAAATAAGTTTGTTTTTTTTCTCTCGTGGCTCTACCCATAGCTCTCACTACACTATAAAAGGTTAGCTGGCAAAGAATGCCTTTTCGGCATTAACTTCGTCTTCGTACCAAATTGTTTTGTTTGAGTGCAATAAAGAATTTTCTATCAATCTATCTATCTAAAACTAATTAATAAAACCAAAGCTCTTATTCTTAATAATTTAAAATGTATCTTTCTTCACAGGCTCCACAGCCTACGAAATCATGGAAAGGCGTACGAAGTGCAAAAGAATTTGGACCTATTTGTATGCAATATGACATGTTCACTAATAAGATATTAGATGGAAGCGAGGACTGTCTATACCTTAACGTTTATAGTCCTGATATCACTCCCAAAAACCCACTCCCCGTGATGTTCTGGATTCACGGAGGTGGATTCCTTAGTGGTAGTGGCAATGACGATTTATATGGCCCTGAATTCCTTGTCAGGCATGGTGTCATTCTTGTTACCATTAACTACAGACTTGAAGTCCTAGGATTCCTCTGCTTAGACACGGAGGATGTCCCAGGTAATGCTGGTATGAAAGATCAAGTGGCTGCTTTACGATGGGTCAAGAAAAATATAATCAGTTTTGGTGGTGATCCAGACAACATTACAATTTTTGGCGAAAGTGCCGGTGCAGGCTGTGTATCTTCACACTTAATATCGCCCATGAGCAAAGGTCTATTCCGAAGAGCAATAGTTCAAAGTGGCTCTTCCAAGTGTTGGTGGGCACTCACAACTAACCCACGAGAGAGAGCGCGATTACTCGCGCGAAAAATGGGCTTAGATTCGGATGATGATAAAGAATTGTACAATTTTTTTAAATCACAACCTACTGAACAATTAATTTTTAAGAAAGCGGTTTTAACCTGGGAAGACGAGTACAAAGAACACCTGAATATTTATTTCACTATAGTAAACGAGAAGAAATTCGGTGATAATGAAAGATTTTTTTACAGTGATCTTACTGATCTTTCGCGCAATAGTATACACGAAGGGGTTGAAGTTATGACTGGATATACTAAAGATGAAGGTTTATTGTGGTTATGTTGGCAAAGTGACTTTGATAAAATATTGTATGAAGCTAATTTCATTGCTGAATATTTTGTCCCTAGAGCTTTGACTTTTAAGTGTCCTCTCATAGATAAATTGGAGGTTGCGCGGAGGATTAGAAAATATTATTTCAACGAAAAATCTATAAAAAAAGAGAAATTGGATCCTTTGGTAAAATATTTTTCCATGGATATGTTCATACAGGGGATGATGAAATGGGTGAAAACAGTTGCTGCCACCAAAAAGAATAAAATATATTTATACACATTCTCATGTATTTCTGAGAGGAACGTTATGTCTAATGTATTTGGGGCGAACCATGTAGTCGATGTCACAAAAGCGACATGTCACGCTGATGACTTAGCTTACCTCTTTCCATTGAAAGCATTCAATTTAACTGTGGATAAAGATTTTAAAAGTTACAAAATGATTAATAATGTGACAAAGTTGTGGACGAATTTTGCTAAATGTGGGTATGTTCTTTTTTTATTCATTACTTTTTATAAAATTTTTGCTGCTTAATACAGGCTTTTCCCATAAATTGACTCATTTGGTGATGTTTGCCATAGATATCATGAGTGCGTTAGCAAACGTAAGTTTTGTATTATTTTGAAGTCTAATCAGGTGATGCTGTTGTCCATCTCGTGTATTATTTACCCTCTGTTGCCTCTCACGATACTCATATGACGCTATAGGGCAGTGGATTGTCTCTCGCAACTAAATTTGTGTATGTATTTATTTCTATAAAAATTGTATATATATTTTTGTGTCCATGTGGCCCATAAATGTCACCTACATCTACGTCTAACCTCGAATAAGAATCAAATTTAACAAGAAATTTAAATAAATAAAAAATTAAACACTTATTTTTTTAAATAAAGTTTTTTAGAAAAAAACTTCTTAATTTTACAGAAATCCTACGCCAGATTCTAATTTAGAAGGAAAGTGGAATCCTTACACTTTAGAAGGAGAACAATATTTAGATATTGGCGAGAGACTGGTTGCAGGCTCATCACCAAATAAAGAAGAAGTTGAGTTCTGGGAAAAATTATTAAGTGAATATGAAAAATATGTGTTTTAAATTAACAACATGACATTTTTTCGGGTTATAAATTTCTTTACGTTGGAAAATTTCAATGTAATTATTTTATTGTCTATAAATTAATAAATCGCTGCAACTAACGTATCGTTTTTAATACCTATATTTTAATACTGATATAAGGTGCCATATAATATGAGATACCATTTATATTTTTGCGTATTTCTCGTAAAATATCAAAGGTATGATGGTTATTTTACGTGATAATAAATTAGATTTAATTAAACTATGAATATTTTAGCAATTGTGCTTACGATTTTGAAATATAAGTGATATAAAAAAGTAATACAGTATTTAACAAAGTTATACGTGGTAGAACCACGCTGCAGCTATTTTGGTTGCAGCACAAATGGGTTCGCTAGACCGGGAAAGGACCGGCTCTATACCAGCATAAAATACCAGCTCAATGCTGCTGTGTTTCGTATGGTGAGTGTAGAGAACCGAAGACCCGTTCTGTTGGAATCGAGGCATTCCATCTTAATCTTCAGGGGTGACAAGGACTCTGATGACGCATTTTGATGCTTAGTCGAGGTTAAATATAGATGTCTATGAGCCACAGCATCCACTTACCATCAGGTTGACTGTGTGCACGTTTGTTACCCTTATTCTATAAAAAATACACTTTCTCTTTGCAAGCATGAAGGTATCCTAATATGAGATACTTAAGGTTTCTAATTTAACATATATCTCATTTTAGGCAACTCCAGTTTTGAGCTCATTTAAATGAAAAATACAATTAATATACTTTATTTTTATCATAATCAGCGTTTATTTATATTATTAATAATAACTCAGCCGCTTTTCTGAAATCATTAACAGAGTTTGCATTCAACAAGGCGCAGCTCCCCATTTAAAAGCACATTGGTTGTCACCTGTTTAACATTATGTGTGGTGAATTTAATACTTTTCGTTTTATTACCGTTCAAAAGCAAATTATTGACGATAAACCAGTGTAATATAACATAACTCACTTCGTCATATTTCAATAATTGCCTTTTAAGTCGGAAATCAACTGAGTATCATCAACAATTAAAACTATATTATGGTTATACCCTAAAAAGTAAGCAAGTCATTAATATAAACCAAGAACAGAAAGGTGTCAAGAATTGAGCCCTGAGGAATACCCATAGGTGCTACCGATTCGGAAGAACTGCTCCCATTAATATCAACTGTTTGCGTTCTATTATTTAGTTATGACGTAATAAGTTTAAGCGCTAGGTGTTTTACACCATAATAACGTAGTTCCCTGATTAATGTATCATTGTGAACACAGTCGAAAGCCTTGGAAAGATCACCAAATATAGTAAAAGCATTTTCTGGATACTCCCGTGTACAAAAAATATGATTGATAAGCTCAACACCAGCATCAGTTGTCGAGCGACCCCTGGTAAAACTAAACTGATTTTTAGAGAGCAATTTATTTACTTTAAAAAATACTTAACAATTGATCTAAAATATTTTTTCAAAAATTTTACTAAACGTTGGCAGTGCATAAATAGGTCTAAAATTAGTGGGGTTCAGTGTACTGCCAGATTTAAATAAAGGTATAACTATTATATATGTTTCATTAAGTCAGGAAACATACCTGATTCGATACTAGCATTGAAAATAATACCAATTTGGGCTGCGATTGCATCTATTATAGACGCAATAACTTTAACGGAAATCTCCCATAGATCCGGTTTTCTTAATTTCAATAGTTTTAAAATATTTTACAAAATCACCTGATAATATTTTGTGAAATGCAAATTCATATTTCGATCGTCAAATAGTAGAAGACCCACTGAAACTAATTTTTTTTAGAAACCGGGTCACTTTACAAATGTAATAACAGTTTCTCTCTCTATCTAACCATATCATTCTCTCTCTCTCTCTCTCTCTTTCTCTCTCTTTCTCTCGCTCTCTCTTGTAATACGAGTCAAAATAATCACCTGTATGGTAGTTCTCTTCGATTTGTAAGTATTCGTTTATATATATGTAGTATATGTAATAATCTTATGTTATATTCTTATTTATTGTATTATTTCATTTTATTATGTAATATAATTTACGTAACATTTTGTATATTATTCATTCATTATTAGTAGTAATGTATGCACCATGTTTGCCTTTTAAATATATTATGGAATAAGTGAAACCTTTGTACGAACTTACTATAAGATTGTTTCTGTATATTGTTGTGTGTACATAAATAAATTAAAAAGAAGTTTTATACCTACCTTAAGTCCGTTTTAAGATTTTAGTTCCTATACTATTATTATTACTGTATATTTATATATTTTTCATCGATTGGCTTGTTTTTCGTTTTAATGAGCTCGTGACTGAGGTAACCTTGATCATTTATTCTTTTGACCTTGACCAAAAATAAATAATAGTTCTTCGTACGTTAAGTTAGTAACCGGTTCTAACTAACTTCATCGTTCGTATTTAACTGATGACGAAATTATTATTGTAATTTAAAATACTTAAGTTGCCTCGCGTGTTCTTTTACAGCAATGACTTGAATAAAACAAAAGATACATTGTAACACGATGAAAGGAGAGCTTCTACCTCTAGTTTGCTGTACGCATGACCATCGACAAAGCAAACCGTTAGATTGGAATGTGTGATGTATTGGCCACAAAAATGTGGAGTCAGGTTTAGCGTTCCGATGATGTGAAGGTTGTTTTTCCAATACGTTTTTTCAATTTTTTTCCTTCTTCACTAGCTGATACAGAAACATGTTAAATGTGAACATCTAAGTTTCAAAATTACCCATAATCGTCACAATTGATAGGTAGCCTGGTATGGTATACCTTCAAATGAGAAACATGGTGGTTATACTCTTTCCTGAGTAAGAATCTGTCAGGGTAGGTTAAGCGAGCAGAAGTACTGCTGTGTTCAGGTCTAAAGGGTATAAAGGCATTGAATCTTGATCTTCAAAGGCAACAACGCATCCGTGGCTTTTATTATTTGCAATTGGCTGCAGGTATTTATGGGTTAGAGTAGGTTAAAAATAAAGAAATTAAAATTAACGAAATTTAAATCTTGTACCTACACTATACCACAGAATATAGAAAAAAACCAGATACCGCGTTCAGTTGTAATAACATGCCGCACATTGTATACAGAAACAAAACAAAAGTACCGCGCCCGTCCCAATCCCCATCCACGTAATGTTGCTTGTAAAATGTTTATACAATACTTTTCGCGTTTTGAGGTAAACATTAGAGGGAAAATAATAATAATAAAATCGTCAGTCCTAAATGTATTAGTTTTATATAAATAATAATATCAAGAAATAAAAATAAGTGAACCAGCGACGAGGTTCTGTCTTCCGGAGGGGCGAAAAGAGGATTGCGGAGGCCCGTCTAGCTACGCTGAATGTATGTGGAGCAATGAATGTTAAGAAGGATGAAGTATGCGATATGATGTGTGATAGAGAAATAGATGTGTTATGTGTAAATGAGACGAATCGGAAGGGAATGTATGTCACTACACATGGCATGTACACCGCGTATTGGTCCAGTGTAGACAAGACCGAGCGAGCATGCCAGAGAGTCGGTATCATCCTTTCAGAAATAATGGGTCAATGTGTGAAAGAGTATGAATGTGTAAGCCTGAGACTGCTATGGATACGAATGAAAGTGGGCTTAAAGAAGTTTTTTGTTCTAGGGGTCTACACCCCAGACATGTCTAAGCCCACTTATATCCGAGAGCATTTTTGGGAGATGGCAAGGATGGTGTTAATGAAATGTAAGGAAAATGAAAATGTTGTTATGTTAGGAGATTTTAATGGAAGGGTTGGGGTGAAGAGGCTTGGCTATGAAAGGATATTGGAAACGTTTGGTGATGAAAGTATAAATGAGAATAGTGAAGCCTCCTCACCGTATGTGTGGAAAGGAATATTTTTGTAACGAACACTTTCTTTCGTCATAAGAAGGTTCAAATCTATACGTGGCAAAGAGGTGATGATAGAAGCATGATAGGTTTCATAACTGTGGATGAAAGAATGAGGAGCGCCGTATTGGATACAATGGTTTACCAGAGGGTCCAACGTAGGGACGGGTCATACCTGGTCTTATGCCGAATTAAGGGTTTATTCACACGTTGGCAGCATCGGACATCTGTGTCTACCACTGCGTTACAGTGTATAAGAATAGAGAAGCTAATCTCTAGATGAAGATGTGAAAGACAAGTACAAATGTAGACAGAAAAAATATAAGTGATCTGGATGAATTGTGTGTGAATGAGTTAGACTTGGAGAATGTGTGGCATAATGTTAAGAAAGGTTTAGTGGATGCTGCTACCAAAGTATGTGGTGTTAATAAGATAACGAATGAAAGGAAAGATATTACGCTATGGTGGGAAGATAAGGTACGTATGGAAGTGTTGTGCAGAATGAGATGATGAAAAATAAATGTACAGAAAGTGCTGTACTTTGTCTCAAGCACGCCGTACGTTACTACACAAATCGTAGGACACCTGTTATAGGCTATTTTTTGGACCTATCAAAGGCCTTTGATACGGTTAAATACGATATACTTTGGAAGAAGCTGGCTACTGAAACTAATGAGGTTCCTAATTACTTAATAGGTCTGTTTCAGTATTGGTACAACAATCAACAGAATCAGGTGAGGTGGGCAGGCGTGCAATCTGAGGCGTATGGGCTGGAGTGCGGAGTAAGACAGGGCGGACTATCTTCTCCTGCACTTTTTAACCTCTACGTGAACAGTCTGATTGGCGAACTCGGTAGTAGTGGATTCGGATGCTCTATTGATAATATTGCATATCACAACATAAGTTACGCCAACGATATGGTGCTGCTGAGCCCATCAATTAGTGGTTTGAGAAAACTACTCAGTATCTGTGACAAGTATGCAACGGCTCATGGCCTACGATATAATGTCAAGAAAAGTGAGATCGCATTTTTTAAATCAAAATATAAGAGCTACAATTTTCCCACTGTCGCTCTTGAAGGTGTACCACTGAAAAGAGTGGCA